GCCTACTATGTGCCATGCACTGGGGATACAAAAAGAGGCCAAAAAAGACTATTGAACTCTAATGGGGGAAGACAACATGCAAACAAATATATACAAAGCAAGCTATATACAGGATAAATAGGAAATAACAGAGGGAAGGCACTGGAATCAACAGGGGTTAGGGAAAGCTTCTTGTAGAAGGTAGGATTTTAGTTGGGATTTAAAGGAAGCCGAGGAGATCAGCAGTTGGAGAAAAGGAGGGAGAATGGAAGGGTCAGAGGAAAATGCCCTGGGGCCAAGAAATGGAATGTCTGAATGCCAAATAGAGCATTTTGTATTTGATCCTGTAGGCAACAGGAATTCGCTAGAGTTTGAGTTGGGGAGAGGTGTGTGACATGATCAGACCTGCATTTTAGGACAATAACTTTAGTGACTGAAGGATGGATGGATTGAAGTGGGGAGACTTGAGGCAGGCAGACCCACCAGTCTGTTATTACAGTAATCAAAGCTTGAGGTGATGAAGGCCGATAGAGTGGCAGCAATGTTAGAGAGCAGGAGGTATAATCAAGAGAAGCTGCAAAGGTGAAATCAGCAGGCCTTGGCAACAACTTGGATAAGGGGGATGAAAGGCAGAGAGGGGTCCAGGACGAATCCTAGATTCCAAACCTGAAGAAATAGACGATGGTGTTGCCTTCTACAGTGAGGAGAAGCTAAAAGGGGGGAAAGGGATTGGGGAAAAGATAAGGATTTCTGTTGAAGGCATAATGAGTTGAAGATGTCTACTGGATACCCAGTTTTAAATGTCTGAAAAGCAGTTGGAGATACGAGACTGAAGGGTAGCGGAGAGATAGCGGCAGAATAGGTAGATCTGAAAATGTTCAGCAATCTATGGAAGCTGATGAGATCACCAAGTGAAGTCATAATAGAGGGAAAGAGAAAGGGCCCAGGACAGAACTCTGGGAGACACTGGAGGAGGATCCAGCAAAGAAGACAGAAGGAATGGTCAGAAATGTAGGAGAACCAGGAGAGAGTGATCAACAGTGTGAGTGGCCACAGAGGTCAAGGAGAAGAAGGACTGAGAAAAGGCCATTGGATTGGCACCTAAAAGATGATCATTAATAATTCTGGAGAGCAGTTTGGGTGGAATGCTAAGACCAGATTATAAGGGATTTGGAAGACATGAGTGAAGGTAGAGGTACCTATTACAGACATCCTTTTTGAAGAGTTTAGCTCCAAAGGGCAGAAGAGATCTAGAGGACAATAGTGGGGATGGAAGGATCAAGTGAGTTTTTCAGAATGGGTAAGACACGGCCATGTTTGTAGGCAGTAGAAAACGAACCAGTAGGACAGGGAGAGATTGAAAATAAGTGAAAGAAGAGAAATGACAGAGGGGACAATCCACTGGAGGAGAGGGATGAAATCACTTGAACAAGTAGAGGAGAGTTGGCCTTGGTAAGGAGTAAGACCACTTCATCATGTGAAATGTGTAGAGAAAAAAAGCAGCAGAAGCCATATGCGTGATATGAGAAAAGAGGGAGCTCATGGCCTCATGAGGGAAGGCCCTCTCAGCTGAGAAGAAGGTTTGAGGAGAGAAGAAAAGATTTGGAAGAGAGGCTATGGAGAGTGAGTTGATAAGGGAGGTGTGGTAGTAGGATTGCTTAGCAGCATGGAGGGCCCAATTAAGGTTATGTAACAAATTTGTAGCGGACACAGTGAAAAGGTTGTCCTTTGCAAACAAGGTTCTCTATATCCCTGTCGGGAAACTGGGCTGGCAGGGGAAGGCCAAATTGTTGGGTGCTGGCACAGGTGCATACGGTTGCTTTGGAAGATGCTTGGACTGGCCCCTAGCAGATTTTCCTCAGGAGACACACTGTGCCCCACAGGAGATGAAAGTCTGATTCTGTGGGCTGAACAGCCCTTCCAAAAATACTGCTCTCCAAGCATAAAGGAAAGAGAAATGCAGATGAGAATGAAGGGCAAATGGTGCTATACTCACAAGCCACATAAGATACTTCTATCTCTAGACTCTCAATATCTGCCACATTCACATAAAAAAAGGGTTTGGATTCAGGAATTGTTCCTCCTATGCCCGGCAGAGAGACATTGGCCAGGCAGCAGCAGCAGTATACTGTGGACAAGCAGAAGAGAGAGATGCCATTTAGAAGTGACTGCCACCATTTATCTCCCCCCGCCCCAAGAATGCACTGTCTTCTGTTCCCTGCACCTTCACCCCAGCCATTGCTATGGGACCAAATAAAAGCATCCTTCTTCTCTAGAGGTCGAACCAGACTGAAAAGGTCTAGAATGCAAAATGAGGCTTAGTGAGATCAGACGTAAGTGTGGCCATTATTCTAAAAGTGTAAAATGCAATATTTCCATAAAAGATAGGATGCCAATGGAATGAGTAGTATTAGCCATGGGACAGCCCAGTCACTGAGGCAAGGTTTAGGGTCAGCAAGTTTAATTCTGATACTTATTTTTCTCCTTAGCTTCCCTTTATCTCTTTCAGATACTGATAATAGTCCTACCTGTAAAAGTTCCTCTCCTCTAATGATGGTTTCACACGATTATGACTAAAACTTCAATAGTGTTATCCACACCATGGGATATATTGAGACTGTGGAGTATTACATCTGATTTCAAAATGAGAAAATGAGAAAAGAAGTGTGGGCCACAGAGCTGGAAAGAACTTTAGAGGCCACTGAATACAACCCCCCTCCTTTTATAAGTGAGGAAACTGTGGCCCACGGTCACATAATGCCCTACGGCCTCACATAAAGAGGTAAGTTAGCTTTCCACAATCCCAACTGTGACAAACAGGAAACTAGGTAGTATAGTGGATGGAGTGCTAGACTTGGTCAGGAAGACTGGACTTCAAATTCATTTCTCTCACACTGCCTCCTCCCGCTATTAAATTAAAAAACTGAAAAGAGAACCTTTAAAATATGCATAGTGTAGTGAAATAAATTCACATACTGACCATGTCAAAAAAAATACACGTCTCAAGTTCTGCATGTTAAGTCCATCAAATCTCTCTACCTGCCTCAGACACTAGCTTTGTGACTCCTAGGTAAGTTAGTTAACTTCTCTGGGCCTCACTTTCCTCCTGGATAAAATGAGGTTGGACTCAATCCCTTTCAACTCTAAATCTTAGGAATAGTCTCAAACGTCATCTGTAAAGTGTGGAGATTGGATTCCTCTGAGGTTCCTTTCAGTTCTATATTCAGCCTGTGGCCATCATATGATCACCAATATCTCACCAAAAATAAACCTACCCTTGCAGGATGCTCCACCACACAAACGGCAGCTTGAAGCTTCCAGTGTCCCTATTGGCATTGTTGCCCCAATAGAGTTGCCGGGTCTTCCCTACTTACCTACCTTATTGTTTAGGATTAACATCACTCAAAATGATCATCACCAATAAGTAGCTTGGAAGCTACTCATTTCCTTCCTTCATCTGGTCCTACCTAGCAACGGCCATGGAGTGTCTAACACGTGGCCCTAGTAGAAACACTCTTAGAACCTGGTGCTTATCCCTTCCTGTGGATGTCACTTACCTCTGTAGCACACAACTCCCACGGGTGGAGGAGAGAATATCAAAATGCGTTTTCGAAGCAAAGCAAACTTCCAAAGGATAAGGATTTGCTCCCCAAAGAACTTAATAAACTGAGACATACAGCCAGCTGGGTGTGTGATCTGCAAAGGATAAAGACATGAACAGCTGGGTAGAAATGCCACAGGGAGAGACTCAACACAAGCACGTACAAGTCCAAGAAACAAAGTAAAGAAGTACCCTAACCAGTCTTCAGAATTAAGATACGAGCATGGCTGTACTCGGCTCCAATCAAAACCTATCTGGAATATTGTCTTCACTTCTGGGTGCCATATTTAAGTCAGGGTATCAAGGAGGTCACGCACATCCAGAGTAACCTAGTCAATATGACAGGGTAAGGGGACTCAAAACTGTCATCCAAAAATCAGGTGAAGGAACCAGAAATTTTTAGACTAGTTACAGAGAGGCTGTCTTGGCTCCTTCATTAATTCTTCTTTCTCTTGCCCTCTTCTATTGAGAAAACCCTATTATGTGTCCCTAAGTTTACTATTTGTTCATTTCTCTTATACATTCCCATCATTTCAACTATGACTTGTTTCTGGATGACTCCTAAAGCTACATCTCCACATTTCTGTTTGCAGACATCTCTACTTAGAATAGGGATCCTTAATCTTTATGTCATAGATCCCTGTGACTGTTTGGTGAAGCTTATAGATTTCTCAAAATATTGTTTTAAATACAATTACAAAACAAATCAATTATTCTGAAACATAGCTATTGAAATATTTTCCCCATCCAAATTCCCAGATGCCCTAAATCTGTCTATGGACTCCAGGGCCAAAACCCTTAACATAAAAGGTTCCATTGTCATATCAAACTGAACATGTCTAAAAACACTTTTTCCCACCCCAAATTGTTTCCCTGTCCCAGCTTTACTCTCTATTCATGGTACCACCATTCTTCCAATCAACCAGGCTTAGAACCTCATTTTTTTTTATTCTACCATTTCTCTTTTAATTTTTAAATTATTTTAATATTTCATTTTTATTCCTTTCTCCAATTCCTCAGGTATCATTTATTCTTACTTTGGAATGTCTCACAAATTTGTCTTCCTTTCCATTCCCATTACCGTCATCCCTCATCAATAGCCTGAGCTACCCTGCCTCTAGTCTAACCCCTCCAATCCATCCTAGACATAAGATAATCTTCCCAAAATGATCCTTTTATTATGTCACTCTTCTGTGAAATTTTTTTAGTGATGCCCCATTAAAAGATAAAGTCCAAATTCCTTAAGATGAATTATAATGCCTTTCACATTCTGAACCCAACTTACCCTTCTAGCCTGATCTATGTCTTACCTAACATCTATCTCACAAATGTATCTACCCACTGACCTCAGAACATATATTTTTTCACCTGCGTAACTTTCTTCCTACTTAGGATGTTATCTCCTCTTTCTACCTAAATCAGGATTTTTCAGCCACAGCAAGTTTTTCACAATCAACAATACTTGTGTTTGTAGATTAACTGTTTGATCCTCCTTCGATACAGAATGGATGTATAAACATAACTTTTTTTTTTTAAGTTTGTCAAATGTTTTGCTTAAATGTTACTTTAAGGGCAGCTAGGTGGCGCAGTGGATAGAGCTCTGGCCTTGGAGTCAGGGGGACCTGAGTTTAAATGCAACCTCAGACACTTGACACTTACTAGCTGTGTGACCCTGGACAAATCACTTAACCCCAATTGCCTTACCCCCCCCCCCAAAAAAAAGTTACTTTAAAAATGTTTTAGATTATTTTATTCAAAAGTTTTTGGTATGAATAGAGATATTCTATGGCTCAAAGCTTTATATGCCAGAGCAACTAATATTTTGTGTGAAAGTTGGTAAAGGGGAAAATGTATATAAATTTCATTTGATACAAGAATTGGCTAAGGCACTGATCATTCAACTCTGAACAGTGAGGAAGCTGAAGAGTTATTGAAAGCGTTGAGAAACTGAAAACAGGGTTTTATACAAAACAACAGCATCCTTTGGCTACATGAATAACATTTCAGGGGATATGGAGGGAGAAGTGGGGACCTAGAGAGAACAGAGGAGAAAGAAGACCACTCTTGGGGCAACACGAAAGTTGCTTTCCCTTTGACTAGTTGTAGGCAGGTATTTTTGTCTTTCACTAAAGAGAACTAAGGGTCTGAAGTCCCAAAGCAGGAAAGCCAAAAATGCCTCCAGGGAAGGCCTTTTGAATTCACCAAAGATTCATAGTATATTCAAAGAAAAGTTCTGCCTAAGCCTCCATAGAACCAAAGTTAAATGAAGCAGTAAATATGAAAAAGTTAAGTATTAGCAAGCAAAGAACCAAATTGTACCTAGGTATTTTATTTTAACACTTGTTCTTTAGGCAGTTTACTTCTTATTTAATGCGACTGTGTCACTGCTTTAATAAAAGTATCTTTGTTTGTACTTAAGCATAAGTGGAGGTGCATGTTTGTGTCTCAGCTGACCACCCTGTATGAGAAGTTTGGCGAACGGGAACACGAGGCCATAATCAAGGCATCACTACTCATGAGCTGTCAACATATATTCTAAGTTCTCTAAGAGGAAACCACACCAGTTCTGAGCCTGCATACTTAATATAAACAAAAGGATTATGATTGTTCAGCTGGAAGTCGTGTTCAGTTCAAGTGATAAAGACTTTTTAATATCTATAACCAATGGGTTACATATTTAGATAATATATAATAATTAGGGTACTTAACACCTCCTCTACTCAAGAATAAATCAAGATATGCCTTCCTAGGGCACAAAAAGTTGGACTCTTTTTCCCTTGGGAACACAGTAAGGGGTCCACATCTCACCTCTTATGCTAAGTGCCTATAATGAATTTGGGCAAGTCACTTAACTTCCCTGGTCCTCAGTTTCTTCATGTGTAAAATGAAGAGGTCCAACCCTAAACGGTCTGAGATGCCTGTCAGATCTAGATCTATGAATCTGGTTGCTGTGACACACACACACAAAAAAAACAAACAAAAAAAAAAACACCGAATCATTTGCAATATTTACCTGTTTCAGAGATAAAGCTTCAGCAGAGCTACACTGGAAAAATGAACTGCAGTAGCCGAGGCACTTATCCCACCCTCCAAAGTTGCCCAAGAATGCGGTTGGGCCTCACTTACCTTCATCTCTGGATACATATATCGATGGATGGAGGGCAGCCAGTGAACAGGGTGCACAGAGTTGGGTTTTCCCTCACCAGCGCGAAGCACACCTTTTTTGTCCTCATAGAATGCAGCCAGATGAGAATAATGTCCCGGCATCTCTAGCTGGTGTCTGTAGAAAACACACACACACACACAGAGTCAGAATAGCTTGGAGAACTGACATGTCCCACCCTTGTACTTATTAATGGAACACCAGTGTTTGTTGCAGCTAATACCTAGGAGAGTCAAGATCTGAGTTTTGGTTTAGGTCGATTACTTTCGGGGAGTATCATCAACACAAAGCTGCTTCACAAACTGACTGTTTACCAGCAGTACAATGAGGTCACCTCTGAAGGGGATGGGTTCTCAATGACCAAACAGCTGGTCCCGCTGCTCATCTACTACATAGCCTGTTTTCAATCCTTTCCAACACAGCTTTTAGCGCAGATATCCTTAACCATTTTTTCACGTCTTGGACCCCACCTCCATCAGAAATAATGCTTTTAAAATACATTAAATAATTAGGATTGCATTTACATTGAAATGCATGTATCAATGCTTTGTAATACAAATTTGTGATATAGTAATACATCTAGCAGCAGATCTAACAACTATAGTAATTTTAAAGTAGCCATGAGCACAAATTCTATTTGGAAATACATGCAATGACTATAATGTAATATGCAACAAAGAAAGCAACAAGCATTTATTAAGCCCCTACATGACAGGCACTGTGCTACACAAATATTAGCTTATTTGATCAACACAACAACCCTGTGAAGTAAATGAATCATCCCCACCTTACAGGTGAAGAAACTGAGATAGGCACAGGTTAAGTGACTTACCCAGGGTCACCTAGCTAGGAAGTATCCGAGGATGGATTAAACTCAGGTCTTCCTGACTTCTGGCCCAGAGCTCTATTTACTGCACCACCCACCTGCCTACATTCATAATTGAAGAAAAAGCTAAATTCCAGCTAGAGGCAGTGAAAATAAAGATGTAATTTTTTTCCTATCCAAGTTTACAGACCCCTCCCTAAAAGTCTTTGGGTCCCAGATTAAGAACCCTTGTTTAAGTGGTAGAATTCACCTCCTGTCTCACTAATTCTTAGGTAGCTAAAAATGTGAAAAACTAACTTGATATTTTGTAGCTATCCACGTACATCTGAACAGGGAAGATTTGGGACAAGTTTTTGAAATGACCTTCAGGCAAAGTCATGTTTTGGGTTTGTTTGTTTGTTTTTTGGGGGGGGGGAATGCTTTTTCCCCCAGAGAAAATTAATGAAGCCTGTATTCAAACAAGGGCTACTTGGGTGGGGGGGATGGGAGGGAGAAAAACAGCTCTCACTCGGATTTCAGGGCATGCTATGGATTTTTTTCCCTTGCATACAGAGATGGCCATGTAATGAGTGATAAATGCCTGCTTTGCAGCTTTTTATAACAATTTCTCAGTCTGCTCACAACCTAAAAAAATTCAAGGGATAGATGGTAGCAAAGCTCTTCCTATAAAAGATATCTGACTTTTCTGAGAATGGGGTGCATCACAGACCTTCTACAGGGCTGAAATCAACACGTGGAAAGCTTAACTGAAATTTGAAACTGTCCACAATGATTAAGTCAGGATATAGTTTAATACAAGGCCAAGCCACTACAAAGAACACTGCTGAGGGAAAAACCCAAATTCTTTTATAAGATCAACTATTGATTACTTTGGTTAATGAAAGGGTTCAGCAAAACATAGCATAATGGTGCAATGAAACCAGTTTTATTTACTGATTAATTTTTTGCCCAATTTGTTTGTCTAAGTTAAGCTGTCACTTTACATTTTACCTGACCCCATGTTTAAAGAAAAGACAGCTTCCGAAGGCACTTGATGGTCATCTTAGATGCCAGCTGACTGATTTCAATATGGAATATGAGGAGGAAGAGATGGAGTAGGGAAAGGACAGAGGAGAGGACAAGAAGGAAGAGGGAGTGGGGAAAAGGAGGGACAGAAAGAGGAAGATAGAAGGGAAAAGGGGGAAGGAAAGAGGGAGTAGGAAGGAAAAGGAGAGGGACAGTGGGATGGAGAGGAGCAGGCGAAGAATTGAAGTGCCCAACACGTTGAGACTGTGACACAATTATACTAGGGGCTGAAAATCCTAGACATATTATCATGTAGGGTTCTCTAGACACTCATTGTAGAAGGGAAACTGACAAGGTAACCAAGACATCCAGATATGAGAGACCAAGATGGCGAGGAGACTTAAAAATCATGCCTTGGGGATTCAGTTAAAGGAACTGAGGATGTTCAGTATGTTCCTGGGAGTAGGGATTTGTGAAGGTAATGATGTGATAAATTAATGCTGTCTTCAAATATTTCAAGGGCTGCTGCAAGTAAAAAAAAAAAAAATCAGACTTGTTCTGCTTGACTTTGAAGGGCAAAACCAGAACCAAAGGACAGAAATTATAAAAAGAGTGATTTTAAAAAAAGAGATTTCCTAATAATTAGAATTGTCTCAAAATGGAATGATTAGGGTGGGGAAGGGAAATGGGGATAGGAAGCTCCGCATTACTAAAGGTCTTCAAGAAGACACTTTGATTTAAAGCTATCTGTAGTTATATGAAAGAATGCTCTAAATCACTATTGATTAGAGAAATGCAAATCAAAACAACTCTGACATACCACATCTCACCTATCAGATTGGTGAACATGAGAAAAAAGGAAAATGATAAATACTGAAGAAGATGTGGGAAAATTGGAACACTAATGCATTGTTGGTGGAGTTGTGAAATGATCCAACCATTTTGGAGAGCAATTTGGAACTATGCCCGAAGGGCTATAAAAATATGCATATCCTTTGACCCAGCAATACCACTTCTAGGTCTGTATCCCAAAGAGATCACAAAAATGGGAAAAGGACCCACGTGTACAAAAATATTTATAGCAGCACTTTCTGTGGTGGCAAAGAATTGGAAACTGAGGGAATGCCTGTCAATTGGGGAATGGCTGAACAAGTTGTGGTATATGAATGTAATGGAATACTATTGTGCTATAAGAAATGATGAGCAAGCAGACTTCAAAAAAACCTGGAAAGATTCATATGGACTGATGCTGAGTGAAGTGAGCAGAACCAGGAGAACATTGTACACAATAAAAGCTACACTGTGTGATGATTAACCTTGATAGACTTATCTTTTCTCAGCAATGCAAGGATCTAGGAAAACTCCAAAAGACTCATGATAGAAAATGCCATCCACATCCAGAAAAAGAACTATGGAGTCTGAATGCAGATCGAAGCATACCATTTGCTCTTTTTTTTTTTTATTTCTGTTTTGCTTTGTTTCTTCTTTCTTGTGGTTTCTCCTGTTGGTTCTAATTCTTCTTTACAACATGACTAATGTGAAAATGTTTAATAGGAGTATATATGTAGAGCTTATATCAGATTGCATACCATCTTGGGGAGGGAGGTAGGAAGGGGGGGAATTTAAAACTCAAAAGCTTATGGAAGTCATTGTGAAAACTAAAAATAAATTAATTAAAATTTAAAAAAAAGAAGATTCTGTGTTCCTTTGTCAAGGATCTTACAGACAAGGGGCAGCTAGGTGGTGCAGTGATAGAGCACTGGCCCTGAAGTCAAGAGGACCTGAGTTCAAATCTGGCCTCAGACCAAACACTTGACACTTACTAGCTGTGTGACCCTGGGCAAGTCACTTAACCCCATTGCCTACCCGCCCCCCCCAAAAAATAAAAAGATCTTATAAATAGAATTCATGCTTTGTGCACGATTAGACAATGACTTCTGAGGTCTGTTCCAATTCTGTGTCTCTATGATTCTGCCAAGTTCCAAAGCATTGAAGCAAAGCCCAGGGACACTGGAAGATAAACATGACTTTAAAGTATGAACAAATAAGAGATTCTTCAAGATAAGTACACAGATAAAGATGAATGGACTGGGATGGAGTGAGATGGCAACATATCTACGACTCACTTTCAAGAGCAAGAAGAAAAAAGTAGGCAGAGATTTGCCTTTCATTTGGGATACAGCACACTTCTGTGCTTGCCCGACTAATCCCACTTGACCAGAAGATCTAAGATACTGGGCTCAAGTCACCTATACCCTCTCACTCTACCTCTGATTTATCAATAAACCAAACCTATTTTTGCAAAGTTCTAGGGTGTTCTAGGCCCTGTCAAGTAGGTAATGGTGTGTACTTTTACTTGAGATCATGAAGTTAAATGGATCATGAGACTGGGAATCAAGAGTCTGTAGAATGACCTAGGGGCAGTCACTGGGGGCAGTCACTGGGGGCAGCTAGGTGGATGGAGTACCTGGAGTCCGGAAGACCCAAGTTCAAATCCAGTCTGAGATACTTACAAGCTGTGTGACCCTAGGCAAGTCATTTAACCCCGGATTACTTCCAAAAAAATTCAAAAAAAACCCAGCCATTGAACATCTGAGAATTTTATCATCCCCTTAAAAAAAAAAAAAAAAAAAAAAACAACACTTAACTGGAATTTCTGACTTTGCAAATGAGGAAGAACAAAAAAGTCATAACTTAACTGTAGATGGGCAAGTTTGCTGGCTTCCAGTCACAACCTTCAGACAAAAGCACCCTTGAGGCACTCCAGGTTTCATTTTAGGTCTCCAACTTTGGGCTGTTCTGGGGAATTGCACACCTTCCCTTTGGCATGGTTCCCCCCTAGGGAACTTGGGAAGGGGGAAGGGCACTGCTGTGTATAACTCTTCCTAAAACAAGGGCCAGTTTTATCCAGCCTCTAGCACCCTAAACAAACCTATTTTTAGCTAACTGAAGTCTCTGTCTTCAGATGGTGCCACATAACTTCAGCCAAAAAAAGGAAAAGGGTGAAGTTTGAACTTGTTTTCAGCTTGCCTTATGGGCTTTTGATAGGAAGGGAATGGAGACCCTTTGGGAAGACTAAAAGGGAAAGTTGGGGGAAGGGGGTAGAGTAGGGAGAGAAAGGGAAAGAAAATTTATAGCTAAACTTCAACTAAGAAGCAAGAAGTTAATTTTTTTTAAAAAAGGCTTTCCCCAATTACCTACATGGGATAATAATACATTCAAGAATTAATAAGAGAAATTTTAGGTTCCAGGTTAAAATTCAGGGTATATAAAAGAAAGTCAAAGTGTTAAGAATTACGAGTTCACTACAAAACATCCATTTCTAGGGCAGCTAGGTGTCGCAGTGGATAAACCACCAGCCCTAGAGTCAGGAGGACCCGAGTTCAAATCCAGCCTCAGACACATACTTACTAGCTGTGTGACCCTAGGCAAGTCACTTAACCCCAATTGCCTCACCAAAAAAAAAAAAATCCATTGCTATCTGATTTTTACTTGCTTTAAAAAGTTGTTCCAAAAATTTCCTACATAGATGTTTACTTAGAGTTACTATTTCAATCAACAATCATTTATCAGACACCTTATAGCAGAGCATGGTGCTAGGCATTTGGAACAATACAAAAATTAAAATACAACAGTATTCCTGAAGCTTACAATATAGTTATTTACTAAAATGTCCATTTTTCTATAAAAAAATATAAAAGTCTGGAGGCGGAGTGATGTAGTGGAGAGTTCTTGCCCTGGCATAGGAAACCTTAATTTCAAATCCTGCCTCTCATGCCCACTACCTGTGTGACCCTGGGAAAATCACTTAACCTCCCTAAATCTCAGTGTCCTCATCTGCAAAATGAAGGGGGTCAAACTAGATGGTCTCCAAGTTTCCTTCCAGCTCTGTAGCTATGATCCCATTACACTTGGTTACAAATCTGTGAGGAAAATCTGTAGCAGCAACTCAGTATCTTCAATGTCAAGCATTTATTAAGTGCCTACTATGTGCTAGGTGGTGCAGTGGATAGAGCTCTGGTCTTGGAGTCAAGAACACCTGAATTCAAACCTGGCTTCAGACACTTACTAGCTGTGTGACAATGAATAAGTCACTTAATCCTGTTTGCCTCAGTTTCCTCATCTGTAAAATGTGCAGGAGAAGAAAATGGCAAACCATTCCACTTGTCTTTGCCAAGACCCCAAATGGGGTCACAGAAGAGTCAGACATGACTGAACAACAATGACAACAATAATTGGGGTAGGCACTGTCCTAACAGCTGGGGATACAAAGAATGGCAAGAGACAGACAGTCCCTCAGGGAAGAACATGCTTCCTAAGAGCGTTTGTAAAAACCCACTGCCCTGGGATGGAGAAATCCTGTGGTCTAGTCCCAGCTCTGACAATGACCAGCAGCTACACAGAGCAAAGAAGTCACAAGATCTCTATTCCTCATCTATAAAATGCCAGGGCCTAGATTCAAATGACCTCTTACGGCCTTATGGACTTTTCCAGTTCTAAGAATCACAACTTTCACTTGCTACCCGGTGGGAGGATAGTAAAATAGTCATGAGAATTTAAAAGGGAGAATTAAGCCCCTATAGTTCCAAATGAGCAAATCCCCCCCCCCAACCCCGCTACTCTCAAAGTAAAAGCTTTGCAACAGAATTTATTTTTGTACTATTAGTTTGGCTTTTAGAAGGCATTTTGGTATCTATTTCTAAATGCAGTATGTGAAAGCTCTGAGAATTTATTTCAAGCAAAGAACAGAACCACATTGTAAAGGTATAAGGATTCCCTAGAAAAGTCTCCAATTTCCTAGCTTACTTTACTCTTCCACACTGTGCAGAACAGATAAGGAATAGCCTGCACCTCTCAAATTAATACGAGGGATGGTCTAAAAAGGTGAGGTTCTTTTTGCACACCTAAGGCAAGGGAGTGATTGTTTTGGTTAGGGTAAACAAATTTCAAGCCACTGAATACTTTAATTAAACTACAAGTATAAGTGATAGAATATGAAAGAAAAATCCCACTCCAGGATTGACTGTTATATTGTGTGGAAGTGGACTAATTTTTTTTAAAAGGCTTAAAATCCTTTTGTTAGAAAAAATGCCTTTTGTAATTGTATTGTCGTAATGAAACTTGACTGGTGGGTAAGAGCTTTAAGACAGGTGAGGTTTATCAAAGTGGACACAGTCATACAAAATGTAAAACTTACCGGACTTGATTCTCTAAGAAGTGCATGTATCTGTAAAGGAGGGTATAGGAAGGTGAGAGAATGCCCACAGATTTCATACGTGCTCCACGCTCCAGTTCACTCTCCACAGGCATGTTAGCAAAACAGGCAAGGCCAAAGAAATGCCCTTTTCGGAAATAGCTGAGGGAAACCAAAATGGTCAAAAAAAAAAAACAGGAATACTCAGAAACAAAGTGAAATGAAACAATTGTTTTTTTGAGTGTTGGGAGGGGGAAAGGACTTGATCAAAGCAGTCTCCTTGCTTTGAAGTGACCTTTGGTTTGAAATTTTGATAGAGGTTTTCTCTCTCCCCATAGAAGGTGTAGCCCTATGCATTTGTGGCTTTTTTTAAAAATTTTTTAATTTTTAGGCAATTGGGGTTAAGTGACTTGCCCAGAGTCACACAGCTAGTAAGTGTCAAGTGTTTGGTCTGAGGTCGGATTTGAACTCAGGTCCTCCTGACTTCAGGGCCAGTGCTCTATCCGTTGCACCACCTAGCTGCCCCTCATTTGTGGCTCTTTAACAGGTCAAAAGACTACTCCAGATTTGGGGAGAGGGGTATAGAGGGGTTGGTTAGCGGGTAAAAAAGCTCATCAGGAAGGGGAGGATTTCAGGAAAATCCTAGGAAGACTTACATGAAATGATGCAGAACCAGGAACAATCTCTATAGCAATAGCAATATTGGTTTTGATATTTGGGTTTTGTTACGTTTTCCAGCTTTACAATGTACAATTTATTTTAATGGCTGAATGGTTTTAGGAGACAGATTACATGCCAGTAAGAGGTCATATTTTCACATGGTTAAATGAAAATACATTGTCTGTTAACAAAAGACATCTTTGCCTAAGTATTCTTTTTCATTGTTTTTTTTTTTGAAAAAGGCCACTGAAATGTGCAAAATGATCTGATATGATGGTGATGGTATCAAATTAGATGCCCCTTCACATGGCAATAGCAGTGCATATAAACATTAATATGAGTAATGGATTAGGTTTGGAAATGATTGAATAACATCACTTTGGGTAGCACAACAGCTTCAAACAGTACTCAGACAGGTATATGAAATGTAGTAAAGCAATTATATTTAAACAACTTTAATTATGGTGAACACTACCAAATGAAAACTGGGAAGAAAATTACAGTAGAAACCTTTTGTAAAGATAAGACTCCATAAAATGCATATTTAAATTCTCGATACCACAAGGTTTATAAATTTCAGCACTATTCTGGAGTAGCCTACTCTGCATGAACAGGTATTTGCAATAATGAAATAAATCAAGCATGCCATGTGGCAATTTAAAAATCCAAACAGTATATTAATTGATATATACAGCATAACTTACTACCTGTTAAACTAAGCATGAAGATTACAGTATCCAACATCTTACTCTCCAATTAAAAAAAACAAAACAAAACCCCAAACAAACATGACCAGTGAAAGCAGAAAATAGGATTTGTGGAATCTAATTTGAACTGACGTTAAAGTATTTCATATAAGAAATAAATGCATGTTGCGTAAACAGCGAAAGCCAATGTTCCACCAATGATTTCTCTTCCAAGTAGTTAAACACAACACTGCATCGCTATACAAAGATTTATTTAGAAGACATGAGTAACAGTAATATTGTAATGATGATCAACTATGAAAGACTTAGCTACTCTGATCAATACAGTAATCCACCATAACTACACAAAGAACTCATGATGTAAAATGCTATCCACTTCTAGAGAGAGAATGGATGGTCTCAGAGTCCAGGTTGAAATATATTTATATTTCTTTTTTTTCCTTGATTTTTTTTTAAGATGGCTAATGTGGAAATATGTTTCCCATGACTTCATAGGTATGATGGGTACCATATTTCCTACTTTCTCAACAGGTAGTGGAGGGGTAGAGGGAGGGAAAGAACTTGGGAAAAAAATTATTTTTTAAAAAAGCTCATCAGTAAAACTTTTCATCTTCTTAATGCAAAGAAGAAAACCAGAAAAAATGCAAAAGGGAACACAAAACAATTTTATTACCATCTTGTTAAATTTCTTATTGTTATTGTTATTAAGAATAATAGTAGTAACAGCAGCATTAATATAGTACTTTCAGGTTTGGAAAATGCTTTACAAGGAATAACTCAATTTATCCTCAAGCAACCTTGGGAGGTAGGTAGATGCTATTACCACCCCTGTGTTACAGATGAGAAAACCTAGGCTGACAGAGGTGTTGACCTCCCAGAGTCTCATAGATAACAAGTACATGAAGCAAAATTTGAACTCAACTCTCCCTGAGTCCACTTCACCACCTAGCTGCTTATCTTCTCTATCACCCACTTCACAACTTTAATGGCATTCTCAACTCCTGCTAACCCCACTGGCAAATCTTGTTTCTATCCTGACATCATCACCATATACGTCCCCTTCTCTGTACTCACACAGCTACCATCCTAGGACCAGCCCTCATCCCTTCTTCCCTAGATTACTTCAACAGTCTTATGACTGGCCTTTCTGTCATACATTTCTTAATTAATCAATAAAAATTAAGCATCTGCTATATGTCAGGCATTGTTCTAAGTGCTGAGGATACAAAAAGAGGCAGAAGACAACCCCTGTCCTCAAGAAGCTTACAATCTAATCCCCACTCCAAGCCATCCTCCACTCAACTACTAATGTGGTTTTCCTAACTGCTACTCAGCACCACACTTACCCATTCAAATGGCTCCTTATTACCTGCAGGATCCAATCCAAATCCCTTTGATGGGCATTTAAGCCCGTCACAACCTGGTTCCTTTATACTTTTCCAGTCCAAGATCAAGCTATACTGACATACTGTTGTCCCTCCATCATAACACCCCATATCTATGCACTCCCTCTTCACCTTGACCTCTTTAGTTTCCTTGACTTCCTTCAGGACTTGGCTCAAATCTTACCTTTGGCTGGAGGCCTTTGCCAGTCCAAACGAGCTGCCAGGATTACCTTCTGTCTGCTCTGTAGATACCTTGCCTTAACACTTGTTTGTTGATTGACTAATGAAATACACATACACACATAGCTTTTAAGAAACAAGCTATATACAACAGAAGTACATAGTTCTTTATAGTAATAATATGTAATAAATTAACAACAGTATCTCCCTCACAGTACTGTAGTGAGAATCAAATAAGATAATAGTTGTAAAAGGTTTTGTATACTGATATATAAATGTTATCTTTTTATTACATTACAATCTTTTTTCTTGTTCTTTGTATACTTTGTATACCAATGATTAAGTTCACAATAAAAAGAAAATTTTAAATTAAAAAAAAAACAGTAACTAAGCCTGTCCCCAGATGAATTGGTTGGCAGTTAGAGGCTGCTTTGAAATGTCACCTATAAAACAAATGATTTTCATTTATTCATAATGCCCAACAAATATTAAGCACTTAATAAATGCTTCCGTTAGCTAGTTATCATTTGAGAACTTGGGATTTCTTTTCCTCTTTTTCCTTCCATCTTTTATGCAAAGAGTACCTCCTCAAATGATTATAAAACTCCCAGGACCACTTCTTCCCTCCCCTGTGAAAAAAAAAAAGGGGGGGGGGAACAGCTAGATGGCACAGTGGATAGAGCACTGGCCCTGGAGTCAGGAGGACCTGAGTTCAAATCCAGCCTCAGACACATGATACTCACTAGCTGTGTGACCCTGGGCAAGTCACTTAACCCCAATTGCCACACCAAAAAAAAAGGGGGAGGGGTTCAAATAAGATTATCTCTAAGCCTTTAAGGCTAGCGCTTAAACACAAGGATGTCTAAACTTTGTTTTCTTTTTTCACTCTTTTCAGTAAGGGCTGAACAAATCATCCTAGATTTGGGTTCCCATTACACAAAAAGGAAATGATGCTATTTCAGTCCCTGTGACCACAACTGGGGAACTGATAGTCACTTTCTAGATAAATTTGAAAGGATGCTAAAGGTCTTTAAACAGCTGGGTTATCTTCAAATGTTTACATTAACTAACTCATGGAAACCTCGAGTTCTCTGTTTTAGGACTGGCAATTGATGTCATGGAAAAACCCCTCTCAGTCTCATGCACAAGACAGGAAACACAAATGGGTCAATTCTGCCTCTTACCTATGGCAAACAGGCCCGTTCCCGGGGAAAGGATGGAAGAAAGGCAAAGAATGGTGTGGTTAGCTTACTTTATAATATTTTTAGCCACCAGAATAACTACCCAGCTCTAGATGGAGAGTTGTTCCTTTTCAAAAAGCTTCACGAGTCACAAGTCCACCGACTGATAGTAAAAAGAAGAGTTTAGTAGGGAACATCTCCAGAGCTTGTAGCACAATAGCAAATGGACAGAACTCAGTCTTTGGAAAATGAAAATCACATTGGCTAAGGGAGAAGGGAAACATATACTTCATTCCATATGCCATAATTGACTGTCTAGACTTTCCCCATCATGCCAGAGAAGCCTCTTCACTCTGGAAGTACACTGGGGCCCCAGCAATCCCTTCCTCTGATTGGCCAGTTCCTCTCAGAACCTCTATTTAAAGGAAAACATCTAGGCTGGGTATGTCTTCATTCCTCTCTGGATTCCCCTCTTGACTCTCGAGACTTTCTCCACCATACCCCATAGCAAGTACCTTCTCCACACTTCCTTGTTTTTTAGCTTCCTCCTTTATAATATAAGCTCCCTGAAGGCAGGGACAGCCTGTTTGTATTTTATTCTCAAAGCTTAGTACAGTACTTGGCACACAGTTAAGAGCCTCACAAATGCTTGTTTTATATACTATAAGCATTGTCAAGTAGCAAACTAACCCCATAAAAATTACACTCTTATTTTCTTTTTTTTTTAAAGAGACAATCAAGGAAACTATAATTTTACCAAAAGGTACCACACATAATAAAGCAACATAAAATTTTTTACAATAAGTTTCTCTTACAATAAGTTTTTTTCAATAAGTTACAATAAGTTTCAATGTGTTCTTTCCCTTTCATTGTGATTTCAGATGCCAGAATGTCTCTTAATATATTCAGCTCCCTGTAAAGTTACTACTCTTGCCCTTGAATAATGGGGGAGGTGGGGAATACCATCCATGTAAGCATTCCATATTCCTATAAAGATGTCCAACAATGCATTTCTTGGAAAGGACTTTTCTTTTTTTTTTAATCTTTCTTTTATTAATTTATTTTGATTTATCAATAATCACTTCCATATGCTTTTGAGTTTAAAATTTTTCTCCCCCTTCCTCCCCACCACTCTCCCTAAGAGGGTGCACAATCTGATATAGGCTATACATTTACATTCATATTAAACATATTTTCACATTAGTGATGTTGTAAGTAAAAATTAAAACCAATAGGAGGAACCATCAGAAAGAGGAAACAAAATTCAACAGAAGAGAAAAAAAAATAGCAATTCGACTTCCATAGTTCATTCTTTGGATGTGGATAGCATTTTCCATCACAAGGCCTCTGGAGATGTCTTAGATCTGTGTATTGCCAGGAAGGGTTAAATTTATCAATATTAGTCATCACACAACGTAGCTGTTATTGTGTACAATGTTCTCTTGGTTCTGCTCACTTCACTTAGTATCAGACCATACAAGTCTTTCCAGGTTTTTTTGAAGTCAGCCTGTTCATCATTGCTTATAGCACAATAGTATTCCATCATTTATTTTCTTTTAAAAGCTGTTTTATCAGTGCAGCTAGGTGGCACAGTGAATAGAGCACTGGCCCTGGAGTCAGGAGGACCTGATTTCAAATCCAGTCTCAGACACATAACACTTACTAGCTGGGTGACTCTGGGCAAGTCACTTCACCCCAATTGCCTCATCAAAAAAAAAAAAGTTGTTTTATCATCTTATTAATAGTCAGTTCTACTGCTTGAAAAGCTTATTCTCACACCCTTCAAGGAGTAAATAGTACCTGCATTACTTCTCAATGCCTGGAGTCTAAGTGCATGTGTACCACCTTTATTTTTACAATATGGAAATTAATGCCAAGAAAGGTTAAATAACTTGTCCAAGGTGATACAGCAAAAATGTATCAGACTCAAACCTCAGCTCCTAGATTCCACATCCAAATGCTTTTTTCCCTCCACAGTGGCATGCAACTTTTAGATGTGGGGTTAGAGGTAAGGAGGCTGTGATCTGAGAGTGTGGGCAGGGAATGTGGAAGTGGTACTCTCTCCCCACCACAGGGAACAAGTTATGCAGTCACAAGGTCCATGCATGCTAGCATGGTGTGTTTGGGGAACATCATTGTCATCTCTTGTTAAGAGTCTTCTGGGGCAGCTAGGTGGCACAGTGGATAGAGCTCTCGCCTTGGAGTCAGGAGGACCTGAGTTCAAATCTGGCCTCAGACACTTGACACTTACTAACTGTGTGACCCTGGGCAAGTCACTTAACCCCATTGCCTAGCCAAAAAAAAAAAGTCTTCTGGTTAAGTTCAACATCTCCCTGCCCTTCTCAGCCCCCACAGCCTGAAGATGCCCTGGCTTAAAAGAATGATGTTCCTCTTCCAAATAAACGCCACCCGAAATGCTCCAGTGTCAGAATGGCAATGAATGGAAAAAAAACCAATGTAGCTGTCATCTTTTCCCTTTATTTTCTCCATCCTCCTAAATTGGAGGGCTTGGTCCACATTTTAAAATGATACTATGACTCCATATGATATAGAAAGGCCCAAGAGATCAAAGCCTGGCTCTTCCACTCACATGCTATGTGATCATGGATAAGTTCCTCTGCCCTCCCATACCCCAACTTCTCTGTTAACTAATAATAATTCTAAATAATGGCTGACATTTATTTGCGACTTTGTTTTTTAAATACTTTACATATATGATCTTATTATATAATTTTCATAACAACCCTGTGAGGATTAGTTAGGGTCAGAGTTAAAAATACTAGAGGTATTTGTCTACATACAGATGAGAAAACTGAGGCTCAGGGAGATTAAAGGACTTGCCTACGGTCACAGATATACTTAAGTGTGTGAAGTAAGAATCAAACGATCTCTCTTGACCCTATGTCCGGCACTCTATCACTACTACCATTCAACCAACATGGCTACCCCTAACCCCACATCCAAAAGTTGCATGCCACTGTGGAGGGAAAAAAGCATTTGGATGTGGAATCTAGGAGTTGAGGTTTGAGTCTGATACGTTTTTGCTGTATCACCTTGGACAAGTTATTTAACCTTTCTTGGCATTAATTTCCATATTGTAAAAATAAAGGTGGTACACATGCGCTTAGACTCCAGGTATTGAGAAGTAATGCAGGTACTATTTACTCCTTGAAGAGTTTTGTGAGAATAAGCTTTTCAAGCAGTAGAACTGACTATTAATAAGATGATAAAACAACTTTTTTTTTTTGATGAGGCAATTGGGGTGAAGTGACTTGCCCAGAGTCACCCAAAAGGGCACTGGTTTTGAGTCAGAAGATCCAAATTCTAATTCTGACATACCTCTGTGACTTTAAAAAAATTATTTAAAGTATCAGAACCTCAATTTCCTGTAAGACGAAGAGAGCAAACTAAGTGACATCTAAAGTCCCTTCCAGCTCTAAATCCTCAGATGCTATAACACTACTAACTGACTTACTATAGAATGTAAATTAGTAGCATTATTCTTCAGACCACTCCACATTTGTGTCGGTGACAGACAATGGTCCTTGCATTACATAAGGTGTTTTCTCTCCTCATGTCCTCTCTCAGTGCAGTGAAGCTTGTGGTCAATGGGGCCATGCTATTTCCTTCCCTTGTTCATGGCCTGATATGTGTTGTGGTTATAGCCCATTGATTCAAGAGAAGTTACTCCTTTCACTTGAGTTCCTTCAGCCTGCTTTTCACTAAAAGTCAATTGCTCACCCTACCTCATCTTAGGAAGTCTTGACGATTCTTCCTTGAAAATGTTTTTTATACTTGGCATAGTACAATTGAAAGAGAGACTCTAAAATCTGAGGACCAGAGTTGGTGCCTTATTTAAACAGCAACAAAAGTCTGATCTCACATTAAAACTGGCATCTGGGTTTGGATATGAAAGTTTCAAACCACTATGTTGGGGGTGGGAGGTGAGGTGGAGGTTTCATAATTTTCTAGAAGATAAAGAACTTATTTAGAAGGGAGAGGGGCAAGGAGAAAAAAGGAAGAAGGAGGATATAAGTTCACAAATACTTACATGAAGTCAGACTGAATTTTATGGGACCCACTGGCCATGGATTTGAATTCAACTCCTTCCAGATCAATATCCTGAGGTAGACACCATTCCAGCATGTTACCTATGGCACATAAAAGTTACAGCTCAGCCTGGAGGAAACTGCTCCAAAAAGAGAGCATGTGTGGGAGAGGAAGCCACTCAACACCCATGTTGCTCAGCCTGAAATAAACCCCTCCAAACGTCAAAGTGATTTACCCTGCCACTCATGCAATCACATATTTACTGGAAGATGTGGAAATAGACATTAGCAAGGAACATCTGTTCCTCAGTTTTACTGGTGCAGCAAAAGCATCCTCTATGTCCCCTAAGTACTTTCTCTTGAATCTGCTGTTCCATTGGACTACACCAACCAACCTCTTTTTTCTTTCACTACCAAATTTTTCACATGAGACCTCTACCACTGCCTTCATTTCAGCAGGCTTCCTCGAGACTTGGCTTCTGTCTGTACCACTCTAGCTTAAAATCAACTTCTCTGAGGACCCTGATGACCTTGCCAAATCCAACAGCCCTTTCTCAGTTCTCATTCTTCTTACCGTTGCTGACATTGAACACCTCTTCATGAAACTCTCTACTCTGCTGTTTTCCATAGTATATTGTGCTAGTTAGCTCATCTACTTAATTGGCCCTTTCTTCCACACTTCTTCCCTGCCCCTGCAAATAAAGGTGTTCCTGACATTCAGTCCTCAATTCTCTGCTCCTCTTTCTCTTCTCACCCCATCACTTCTACCCAGCAGATATCCCAAATCTCAATCTCTAGCCCTAATCCTTCTCTCAGGTTCTAAACCTGCATTTCCTACAGTCCTTTACAGACATTTCTACCTGAATATACAACCTCCTCAACTTAAAATCAGCGTATCCATGGACTCATCCTTCCTGCCCCCCCCACAATAATAACAATTAGTCTTCCAACCCCACAACCTCCTTCTTTCTGTCACTGGCATAACCAGTTTCTCAGTCAATGAAGACTGAACCCCTGGAGTCTTTCTTCCTTTTATCATCTTATATAGCCCATTAAGTCTGATCAATTCTTCCTTCAAACTATTCTTTGGATCTGGCATAGTACAATGGAAAAAGAGATTCTAGAGGCAGAGGCTCAGGATTCAAATCCCACTTTTGCCTTGTGCCAGACTTGGAATTTTAGGAAAGTCATCTTTAAAATGAGAAGGTTGGGTTGCCAGGCTTCTTAGGTCCATCCCCTTCAGCACTAGGTCTAAGATTTTGTGATCTTCAATACTTCTTTTTTTTTGGCTAGATGCTTTCTGTGGATTTTTAACATTACAGTAATTTGCATTTATACTCACCCCTCCCCCCATCAAACCTTTCCTAGAAGGAAAAAAAAAGGCTAACCAATAAGGCAATTGTGTCAGACAGTATATATTGCATTCCACATCCATAGTTTTCCACTTCTCTACAGAGAGACAGGATGCTCTGTTCTCCTAAACAAAGAACATCACTGCGAGTAATCAAGAGAGTTCAGCTGGCCCCTTCTAGTGTTAGGTACATTCCGGCAGTCAGGCTATATTGTTCTCTTGGGTCTGCTTACTTCATCAAAAGTCTTCCCATGCTTCTATGAATTCCTCATATTGTCATTTCTTTTGGAATAAAATTATTCCATGATGTTCATATACCACAACTTGTTCAACCAACCCCTAATTGATTGGCATCTCACTCATCAATTTCTAGTCTTTCTGCTAATAATAATAATAACAACAATAGCCAGTATTTATATAGTACTTTAAAGTTTGCAAAGTGCTTTACAAATATTATCTCATTTTATCCTCACAACAAACCTGGGGGCTATATGCTATTATCGTTCCCATGTTATAGATGAGGAAACTGAGGCAGACAGAGGTTAAGTGACTTTCTCAGGGTCACACCACTAGTATGTGTCTGAGGTTGGATTTGAACTCAGGTCTTTTTGACTCAAAGGCAGAGCTCTACCCACGTCAACAACCAACTGATCCCACAAGGAATGCCATTCTGAATATTTTGCTATTATATGGGATTTTTCCCCCCCTGTGATTGACTTTGTGGCATCTACTTTCTATTCTTCCACCATCATCCCAGACTAAGCCCCTATCATCTCATACCTACATTGTTTCAGAACTTTAGAACTGAAAAGGCCCATACATATCATTTTCATCATTTTCCAGATTCAGAACCTCAGGCCCAAAGTGACTTTTACAATGTCTCTTAACTAGTTAGTGACAGAGTCAGAGCTAAAACTAGGTCATCCTCTCTCCCAGGCCAATGCTCTTTTCTTTAAACCAGACTGCCTCACTTTTGAATTCCCATCACAGTATAATGCCTTGTGTCTTTGCTGTTGTTCAGTCATGTCCAACTCTTCATGCCCCCCATATGGGGTTTTCGTGGCAAAGATACTGGAGTAGTTTGCCATTTCCTTCTCCAGCTCATTTTACAGATGAGGAAACTGAGGCAGAGTTAAGTGACTTGTCCAGGGTCACACACAGAGTAAATGTCTGAGGCCAGATTTGAACTCAGATCTTCCTGACTCCTGGCCCAGCACTCTATCCACTGAGCTATCTATCTAGCTGTCTCATTGTATCCTAGGATTCCTCAACTATTAATTAGATTTAGCAGCTATATTTGCATAATGCTCATGATTATTTCTCTGTACACTAATGGAAACATAAAACAATCTCTCTAAAGATAGAAAGTCTTTAAAAAAAAAAAGATGGAAGGTCTTTGCTAAAGCAAAAAGCCTTATTCTAAATGTTGACATATTTATTCAGCCACTGTTTACACATCAGAGCTGTAAATTTGATGGTATCTAAAGAGTCTTTTAGGTTACACTTTAAGGCACTCCATAAGTCACTGAATTTGTAAGATTCTGTATAATAATGATAGCATTTCCTCGGAAAATGTACGAGGCAGAACACAGTAGTTTACTTCCAATTATCTTGTCATATAGTCAAAATTTGAGTTTCAAAAGGAAAATACCATAATAATGAAATGCCGAAGCAGACACAATCCTATAAGCATCATATAAACAGCATGAATTAATTCTTTACAGAGTCAGAGCAAATTCCTTACTCAAGTGCTCATCTCATGGGCTTTAAAATATCATAATCATAGGATCACAGAAGCAGCCAATCAGTAAGTGTCTGCATGCCAGGCACAGTGCTAGGCACTGGGGATCCAGGTACAAAGGGGAAGACCTAATCTTGCTGATAAGGACTTACATTCCGATGGGAGAGAAAACAAATGCAAATATAGGTATGTATAACAAATACAAAGTTAATAAATACAAATCTATACAAAGTAGTGGTATACAAAGTAGCTAGGGGTAGGGGTAAATCAGGGAAGGCTTCACTCAGAGGATGATGCCTGAGCCGCATCTTAAAAAAACAGAGAGACCACGATGTGGACATATAGAGGAGTGCTTTCCAGGGCTGGCGGCAGGGTCAATGCAGGTGGAGTGGGTGGGGTGATTGGGGTGGGGGGAGGAGAAAGAGAGAAATGGATAGATAAATGGAGAGACAGATGAAAGAAAGATAGAAAGAATGTTGCATGTGAGGAAGAGAGAGGTCAGTTTGACTGAATCACAGCATGCAAGATGGTAACACCTGGTGAGGCTAGAAAGATAACCTGGGACCAGGTTGCAGTACAGGGCAGAGGTTTCAAACACACTGCTGAACCAGATTAAAATGTAACTGGGAAATATTTAACAAAATGAGTAAAAACACAATTTTTTTTGTTTAGTTCGTCATGTTCAGTCCTGTCCAACTCTTTTCCTTGGCAAAGATACTGGAGTGGCTTGCCATTTCTGTCTCTAGTTCATTTTACAGATGAGGAAGCTGAGGCAAACAGGGTTAAGTGACTTGCCCAGGGTCACACACAGCTAGTGTCTGAGGCAGGATTTGAACTCAGGTCTTCCTGACTCTGGCCTAGTGTTCTATCCACTGGGCCACCTAACTACTGTAAAAACACAACAGAACAGATAATATTCCTCTCAGAGTTGTTGTGAGGATAAAATGATATAATATTAGTAAAGTGCTTTACAAACCTTAAATCATTACATAAATGCTAACTACTATTATAGCTATTATTGTTGAGGATTATAGCCTCACATAGTAAGCCTTTTTCTCCAGGGACCATCTTTCTGCTACTGCTAGAAAGTGACATGCAGCTCTGCCCTGTGCAGGTTGTTGTTTGGTCATTTCAGCCATGTCCCACTCTTCATAACCTCATTTGGTGTTTTCTTGGTCAATATACTAATGTGGTTTGCCATTTTCTTCTCTAGCTCATTTTAGAGATGAGGAAACTGAGGCAAACAGGATGAAGTGACTTGCCCAGGGTCACACAACTAGAAAGTGTCTGAAGCCAGATTTGAACTCAGGAAGCTGAGTCTTCCTCACTTCAGGCCAGGCATGCTATCTAGTTCACCACTTGCCACCAAAATAATACCTGCTAACAGGCTACTTGAAGCCAAATATATGTTAGTGTCCTCACTAGTCTTTTTCTTTTTTTTTGTTCTCAATCAAAGCACCAATCAATCAGGCCAATGACCAACAGGCATTTGGTAAGTATCTATTACTGCCAGACCCTGTGCTGTGTACCAGGGATATAAAAACCAAAGGGAGATAAGTCTCTGCCCAAAGGAGCTTACATCTTACAATCAACATATTCACTTTCGTACCCCCTATGTCCATTATGAGCAGAAACCAAGAAAATTCTATCTCTAGAGGCAGTCACCCTAGTAGATACAGGCTTCCATTCTGAATGGGCATAGAGATGAAGCAGGGGGAGGAGCAAAGGGAGGCATATGGAATCAATCAAGCCTCAAGTTAGAAAGGGGACTCCTGCATCTTCAAAAGACTCATGATGGAAAATGCTCTACACATCCAGAGAAAGAACTATGGAGTCTGAATGCAGATCAGAGCATACTATTTACTCTCTCTTTTTGTTTTGTTTTGTTTTGTTTCTTCTTTCTCATGGTTTCTCCTATTGGTTCTAATTCTTCTTTATGACATGACTAATGTGAAAATATGTTTAATAGGAATGTATATGTGGAGCCTATATCAGACTGCACACCATCTT